GAAAGTACTATCAAAAAATTTAAAAATATACAGAGTGTTCTATTTAAAAGAAAAAAATCTTTTGTGTCACACCTTTTGATACCTACCTGTATATGAACAAATACAAAAAAAACAAATTAATGATTTAAACCCTACAACTTTTGAATTTAACTTTTTGCCATAAAATAACTAGATTTCCATATTCCGAAATAGGTAGGACAAAATAACCGGGCCACCCTGTACATGGCCAGAGATAACTAGGGGATAACAAAAGGATAACTAGGAGATATCTGAAAAAATGCGAACATTCTGAACTTTACATTTGGCAACTCTGGACAGGTATTTAGCCGCTATAAGACTAATAACAATAAACGGGAACCATATTCCAGTAAATAGTTAAGGGATAACTGGGGATAGTTAGGGATAACCGTTGTTCAAATTTTGATTATTACCAGGTCTTGAGTCTGATTGGTTGGATAATTTCTCTAGAGGGAATCAAGAGCCTGTAATTGGTCAAATTTTGATTATTACCGGCGTTTGATTGGTTGAATAAGATTCTAGAGGGAATCAAGACCCAGTGATGAGTCAAATTTTGACTCTTTGATTTCGCGTTGGTATTCCCATTATTTATAGAGTCTATAGTTTTTAGCCTTAGGTAGTTGGTATACCTATAACTATGTATTGTTGTATACCTAAATACAAGGGGTAAACCACCATCCCAGGAATTGGTGCAAACAATTCCTCAAAGGGGAATTTTTTTCGCATAATTCCTGCAAATTCCTCGAGATACCCTATCACAAATTCCTCGAAATACCCTACCACGAACTTCTCCAAATACCCCACAAATTCTTCTAAAAAAAAGGAAAATTTTGGAGCTTTCTGCATGTAAAGAAGAAGGCGAGAAGATCATTTTCCGAAAATTTAAATGTTTTCCAGAGGAAAACAGCGACTTGAAAAATCTTAGAAATTAACCTACAAAAACTGAATCAGTTGAAAATAGAGTCTCACACATTTCAAAGTTTTCCTGGAAAACTAGTAAAGGGAAAATTTTGAAACTTTTTACATGTTAAGAGGAAGGTGAGAAGTTCATTTTCCCAAAATTTAAAAATTTTCCAGTGGAAAACAGCAACATGAAATATCTTGGAAATCAACCTACAATAACTGAATTAATTGAAAATACAGTTCCATACATTTCAAAGTTTTCCTGGAAAACTAGTGTAAGTAACATTGAGAAACTTTTTGCGTGTGAAGAGGAAGGTGGGAAGCTCATTTTCCTAAAATTTTAAATTTTTCTAGTGGAAAATAACAACATGAGGAATATTGGAAATCCACGTACAATAACTGAATTAATTGAAAATACAGTCTCACATATTTCTGAGTTTTCGTGGAAAACCAGTGAAGGAAGAATTTTGAAACTTTTTGCATGCAAAGAGGAAGCTGAAAAGCTCATTTTCCCAAAGCTTCAAATTTTTCCAGTGAAAAACAGCAACATGAAAAATCTTGGAAATCAACCTACAATAAGTGAATTAATTGAAAATACAGTTTACATATTTCAAAGTTTTCTTGGAAAACTAGTAAAGGGAAAATTTCGAAACTTTTCGCATGTAGAGAGGAAGGTGAGACGCTCATTTTCCCAAAATTTCAAAGCTTTCTAGTGGAAAATAACGACATGAGGAATATTGGAAATCAACCTACAATAACAATTAAATGAAAATACAGTCTCAAATATTTCAGAGTTTTCGTGGAAAACCAGTGAAGGGAAAATTTTGAAACTTTTTGCATGTAGAAAGGAAGGTGAGACGCTCATTTTCTCAAAATTTGAAATTTTTCCAGTAGAAAACAGCAACATGAAAAATCTTGGAAATCAACCTACAATAACTGAATTAGTTGAAAATACAGTCTCACACATTTCAAAGTTTTCCTGGAAAACTAGTGAAGGGAAAATTTTGAAACTTTTTGCATGTTAAGAGGAAGGTGAGAAGCTCATTTTTCCAAAATTTCAAAATTTTCCAGTGGAAAACAGCAACATGAAAAATCTTGGAAATCAACCTACAATAATAACTGAATTAATTGGAAATACAGTCTCACATATTACAAAGTTTCCGGGAAAACTAGTGAAGGGAAAATTTTGAAACTTTTTGCATGTAGAGAGGAAGGTGAGACGCTCATTTTCCCAAAATTTCAAATTTTTCTAGTGGAAAATAACAACATGAGAAATATTGGAAATCAACCTACAATAACTGAATTAATTGAATATAAAGTCTCACATATTTTAGAGTTTTCGTGGAAAACTAGTGAAGGAAAAATTTTGAAACTTTTTGCATGTAGAGAAGAAGGTGAGAACGCTCATTTTTCCAAAGTTTCCAATTTTTTCAGTAGAAAACAGCAACATTAAAAATCTTGGAAATCAACCTACAATAACTGAATTAATTGAAAATACAGTCTCACACATTTTAAAGTTTTCCTGGAAAACTAGTGAAGGGAACATTTCAAAACTTTTTGCATGTAAAGGAGAAGGTGAGAAACTCATTTTCTCAAAACTTCAAAATTTTCCTCAAATCCTCATATATTCGGATGAGCTCCTAAAAATTCCCCACAAATTCCTCAAAATTTCCCATAAATTCCTCTAAATTCCCCAAATTTGAAAGTTTTCCAGTGGAAAACAGCAACATGAAATATCTTGGAAATCAACCTACAATAACTGAATTAATTGAAAATACTTTCTCACACATTTAAAAATTTTCCTGGAAAACTAGTAAAGGGAACACTTTAAAACTTTTTGCATGTTAAGAGGAAGGTGAGAAGTTCATTTTCCCAAAAATTCAAAAGGAAAATAACAACATGAGGAATATTGGAAATCGTACAATAACTGAATTAATTGAAAATACAGTCTCACATATTTCTGAGTTTTCCTGGAAAACTAGTGAAGGAACAATTTTGAAACTTTTTGCATGCAAAGAGGAAGCTGAGAAGCTAATTTTCCCAAAGCTTCAAATTTTTCCAGTGAAAAACAGCAACATGAAAAATCTTGGAAATCAACCTACAATAAGTGAATTAATTGCAAATACAGTTTACATATTTCAAAGTTTTCTTGGAAAACTAGTAAAGGGAAAATTTCGAAACTTATCGCATGTAGAGAGGAAGGTGAGACGCTCATTTTCCCAAAATTTCAAATTTTTCTAGTGGAACATAACAACATGAGGAATATTGGAAATCAACCTACAATAACTGAATTAATTGAAAATACCGTCTCAAATATTTCAGAGTTTTCGTGGAAAACAAGTGAAGGGAAAATTTTGAAACTTTTTGCATGTAGAGAGGAAGGTGAGACGCTCATTTTCCCAAAATTTCAATTTTTTCCAGTAGAAAACAGCAACATGAAAAATCTTGGAAATCAACCTACAATAACTGAATTAGTTGAAAATACAGTCTCACACATTTCAAAGTTTTCCTGGAAAACTAGTGAAGGGAAAATTTTGAAACTTTTTGCATGTTAAGAGGAAGGTGAGAAGCTCATTTTTCCAAAATTTCAAAATTTTCCAGTGGAAAACGGCAACATGAATAATCTTGAAAATCAACCTACAATAATAACTGAATTAATTGAAAATACAGTCTCACATATTACAAAGCTTTCCGGGAAAACTTGTGAAGGGAAAATTTTGAAACGTATTGCATGTAGAGAGGAAGGTGAGACGCTCATTTTCTCAAAATTTCAAATTTTTCTAGTGGAAAATAACATGAGAAACATTGGAAATCAACCTACAATAACTGAGTAATTTGAAAATACATTGTCACATATTCTAGAGTTTTCGTGGAGAAGAAAGTGAGAAGGCTCATTTTTCCAAAATTTCAAATTTTTTCAGTAGAAAACAGCAACATTAAAAATCTTGGAAAACAACCTACAATAACTGAATTAATTGAAAATACAGTCTCACATATTTCCTGGAAAACTAGTGAAGGGAAAATTTTGAAACTTTTTGCACGTAAAGAGGAAGGTGAGAAGTTCATTTTCCCAAAGTTTCAAATTGTTCCAGTGAAAAACAGTAACATGAAAAATCTTGGAAATCAACCTACAAAAACTGTATTCATTATTGTTTTGAATTTTTAAAATTTGATATTTTCCTTTAAATTCCTCATAAATTCCTTACAAATTCTCCCAAATTTCCCATAAATTCCTCCAAATTCGCTATAAATTTCCCAAATCCTCATAAATTAGGATGAGTTCCTACAAATTCCCCACAAATTCCTCTAAATTTCCCATATTTTTGGCAAAGAATTCCTAGGTGGTTTGCCCCTTGACCAAGGATGACTAGGGATAACTGAGGATAAACTTGAAGTAGGAAAGAAATTTAATGTAGCTACACAATTTTGCAATCGAAACCCCCCTCGATTTGATTGGTTGATTTTAAAAAGGACACATTATAAAAAGTGCCTCATGATAGGTGCAACAATCATTCACGATAGAGGGAACATTCTAGAATAATTTATTAGTCTAGCAAATATTACAGTCTATAATTGTTCCACTGAAGTAGCTTCAAATGCATGAAAACCTGATACAAGCGCAGCATTAATTTGATGTTAAAAATTATTACGATTTCCTTTTGGATCAAAGAACGCCCCAACAACATTCCAAAGAAACAATGATCAAATTAATGCGTTTAAAAAAAATCAAAGAAACTATAGCTAATGCAACATTATTGAAGAACGTTTTCGTTCACATAGATTTGGTAGATTGTTTACATGTTTTTACTAGAATAGACAAAATCAAGAAATCTTTGGAATGTCCTTACAGTGGTCCATACAAAGTTCACGGAAAACTGTTTCAGTTGATAGACTTGAACCAGCAACCAGCATTTTTTGAAAAAACAATAATTGATGAATCAGATTTTAACAACCTTCAGAACCCAATGAAATTCTTTCTGACTGGTTTGTGACTTCTGTGCGAACAGACCTATTAAGAAATAAGGAATTGGGTAATTCCGGTCTTACTATTGGTAAAAAAATTTATGTAAACTACTTACCAACGCAGCTTCTCGGTCCAGCACTGAACGGTATAAACCCATAATAATGCCTACTAGCTGCCTTTTCCGGCAAAAAATTATCCGGATCAAATTTTTCAGCATTAGGACCGTAAATCTCTTCTAAACGATGCAGCTTAAAAGTTCCAATAACTATTGTAGCTCCAGCTGGTAGCACATGATCATTATTAGAAGCTAATTGAACATCTTGCTGAAGCTGACGTGCTATAATAGGTACAGGAGGAAATAATCTTAGAGTCTCCAACAAACATCTTTCCAAATATTTCATCTCTAAAGTGTCAGCAAACGTTGCAGGCCTGTTTGAGCCTTGAAAAATTTCGTCCACCTCCTGGATAACTTTGTCTTGGATTTCTGGATGCGCTGCCATTTGACATAAGAAGAAACTGGACCCAGCCGCAGTAGTATCGTGGCCTTCAAACATTATTGTATCGACTTGTTCTTTGATTTCTTCGTCGTTGATTACTACGCCGTTTTGAGATGCTTCAATCATTAAGTCTAGAAAGGCCATTCGTTTTTTTTCGCCTACATCGTCATCAAGATCGTCTTTTAATCCATTAAAACTTTGTTCAAATGAAGCATTTTCATATTTGTCAGTTGTTTTTTGGGGTACTTCAGCTGTAGAACCACGAATTCCTTGTTGAAAGTCGGCCTTTTTCTTCTGGATTACTTTGCGCGTCAAGTTGTGGATGACGGAAATTAATTTTGTTTGGTACTTTGAGATTTTGGTCAAGTTGAAAATGAAGTCGGGCCTGAACCAGAATTTTGTGTGACGTAAATGGACGATGTCGCACAGTTTCATTACGGCCATGGCGTAATCGTAGCCGCTTTGGTCTTGAGTTTTTTTGCTCACACCCATAGCGGTTTCTGGAAAAAAAAACAAATTCAATATTTTGGATTCTGATCAGAATATTTGAGATATTTCTGATAGTTTCTAGAACATTCCGGTGCTTTCAAGAGCGTTATGGGTTTAAGAATTTTATTTTCAGAAAATATCGCACTTAGTGGACATCTCTTTGTATAAATTGTCTCCAAGATAGAAATTAATTCATTTAGATAAAAATATTTCGCTTCTACGCCCATGAATTACTTGCAATAAACGAATCATATTCAAATTCCTCTAATTTATTTCTCTACTATAGATTTTCAATAAAAAATTTAGAGTCAAATTTCAAAATCTTACCTAACAAAATTTCCACGGTAGCTTCAGACATGTAGTCGTGACAATCAAACTCCTTGCCCACCTCTTTTTCCAGCTTTTCAACAGTTTCCTGGCTATTTTTATTGAACAAATCTATAAAAGACTTGAGCACATTCAAATGAAAAGTGGGCGCAATCAATTTCCTGTGGGCCCTCCATTTTTGGCCGGTGGAAATCAAGAGCCCGTCTCCCAACCAAGGTTTGAAAAAACTATACTCTGGCGATCTATAATAATTAAAACAATCTATTATTTTCAATTTTAATTAAATAAATTATTACTCACTTATCAATATGTACATGGCTGCTCAATATTAGTTCAACATCTCTAGGATCAGTTAGGAAAATTAAGAGTCTTGGCCCTGCCCAAACTTTTACAGTTTTTCCAAATTCAAATGATCTTTGGTAGAAATTGGTAAAGATGTCTGCAATAAATTTAAAACAATGTCAAATTAAATGCGATTAACGATCTTAACATTAACCTTCTTTTGCACAAAAAAGGTAAACCGCTGTTACGCAACTTGCCATTGTAAATGGTGATGGATCTCCGAGAGAAAAATTGTGTCATGATTAAAATAATTGTTCTAGTTTTGCGTATACTTAATTGTGCAATATACATAATAAAAAAAATACCATGAAAAACTTACCATTAGGATTTCCGATGAATTCTAAAGCATTTCCGATAAGAGGTAATCCAGGTGGTCCAGGTATTTTGTCGGCCAATTCGATCATATGTTTTCTGGATATTTTCCAGTAAGTGTACAAAAGGGCCAAAGCAGGTACCAACAGGAAATAGAAAATGTTGGTGGGCGATAAAAGATACAATAATAATGGAGACATTATTTTTGCTCTAGTAATGGAAAATTATTGTACACAAAACAAATTGAGCTTCTTGGGACTGCGAAGCCAAGTGCGTTAGAAAAAAGCTCCGCGCTTTGATTTTATATAGTTTCAGAAGTGGTACCATTAAATTATGTGTCGTATATGGGTAGTAGTACCCATTATATTTTTCCATTCTTACATAAAAACATGTTTTTTTTATCTACTTTTTTGGTAGATGTTGTTTTGAATGTAGATATTGTTCTTGGGTTGTATTATGATTATACTATTATTAGTTGAAAAATTTGAATTTATTAAGCATTGATTTCTCAATAATAGTAGATTATACCACGAGTCAATAATGATAGCTATTATTCCCGAGGAATTTTTACGAACTGAGCCGCATTAGCGGCGAGGGAGTAACATTCCGAGAGAATAATAGCCATTATTGCGAGTAGTATACTATATTTTATTTACCACAAATTAATTTATTTGAAATTTCCTTTCCAAAAACGCTCTTTGTTCATCCATCTCAATACAAATACACAAGCACTACGCGTTTGACAATGTCACTTTCGAGTTTGTTTATATTGGTTCCATGGTACTACTTATTTAATTTGAGAAATTTTGTGATTGGTGTGCAAGCGGGAATAATGACCATTAATCCCTGCGGAAATAATATATGTCATTAAACTGCCAAAATCACAAGTATAATACTTACATTATATGTCAGTCGTAAATAAACAACATAATATCCCAACAAAAATTTATACATTCTTCGTTCAACTGGTCAAAAATGCTAGGGTATATAGAGAAACTATAGAGAAGTAGTTTGAGATAGGACACCGTTGGTCAGAAGTGCGTCATTTCCCAAATACAGGGAGTTGAAATTTGAACAACGTTCTTTTATATCATCTGAAGGGCTAATGCTAGGCTGTTCAAATTTTCAGGTATTATTGATTTAGGAACGATATTTAAGAATTCGTATAATGCACCCCTATTTTATACTTGGAACCACCCCAAAAAAAAAAAAATTGAAACAAATTGCTTTTTTTTCAAATTTTATTTTTTATTTTTTTCGGCCTCGACAGCTGAGGTCATTGGCACGTGAATTGCATCTGCCCATTACATAGGCATTATAATTTAGAGGCAGTTGTATACAGGTCGAAAGCAAAAATTACAGAAGGAGAAAATTTAGGAAACTATACTTGTTAATGTCCATTAAAAACTGTAGCACTTTTTTGATTTTGGTGTTTGAAAATTTTCCCGAAACTTTGCGCTAATGTTCAGATAATTTCGGTGTGTTGAGGACACTCAGAAATAATATGTTCTATACTGTCAGGATTCCGGCACAGAATTCACATAATTGTGGATCACCATTTTCCATTAAGTACCTATCCATGTGTAGCTAGGGTGTGTCCTATTCTTAGTCTATGTATTATTATGGTATCCTTTCTGTTCATAATGGGCAAATTATGGGTTGGTAGGTTGGATATACGGTAGCTTGGAATTTGATTGGCTCCAAATAGCTTGCCACTTGGTCAGGATTTTCCTTTTGCATTCGTTTTTTAGGTCACTTTGAAGTTGTATTTCTTCTATGGAAAGATCTAGGGTTAAAGCTTGGTTGGCTGATCTGCTATTTTGTTGTCACATATCCCGACTTGGGATGACACCCAGACTATTTCAATATCAATATTCGGACCTGATAGAGGTGCTAATATTTATTCTGTATATTTCGAGCCAGGGGATTTTGTGTAAAGATGTTGTTTATGGAATGAATTGACGAAAGCGAATCTGTACATATTATGATGACTGTCTTGTTTTCACCAGTGATGGAATAAAGGGCCCTGTAGATAGGAAGTGCATAATCTGGTTACTGCATCTATTGTCGTGACTGCACAACTTACTCTGTTGTCATCTTTGGATGCATCTGTCTATAAGGTGTCATTCGGATCATTTTCTTCCATAAGTTCTAAGAAATGTTGCTGTTCTGTTATTTTTGAAGCTCCGACAACGCTTGGTTGTGTTTGGTTTGACATATTTTCAGCGTTCCGAGCAAGCTCGATAAACTCCGAGTTTGTGGAGTGGGTAGCTGGAGCGTGCATGCGCAGATCAGATGTGTTTAACCAATCTCTGTACGCTCTAAGGTCTTGTACAGAACTATTTTCCATGATAAGATAAATAATCCTAAATTTTAACATTTATTAATTTGTTAGCTGGATAGTTTTAGCTATTTTATTTAAATGGTAACAATTGTATAATTGTTAACTTCAAATTAAATTTTCTCGATAGACCTCATGACTGGTATTATTGAATTTCCCAAGCGAACTTGGCAGCCATAGGAGTATGTGTGACCTAAATCCATTATTGTTATTTGTTTATTCAGCAATTTAGCACGACACAATTTTAGCAGAACATGTTTGCTGTTTGGAGAATATCGATTACAATAGAAAACAAACTAGAAAACTGTGGTGGAAATGCGGACTCGGACTCCAAAAAAAAAAAAAAAAAAACAATAATCAGCTGATCGATCAACCCAACACAAGTGTACTCCCTGTGAAGTCACGTTACCCCGTAATCGCTCTGCTCGCTCCACCGAGCGTCAGCCCAAACACGCCAAATATACCTGGAACTACCAGTCGGATTTACAGCGTTGTCATATTTATTTAAGTTGGCGCATTCAACCGACGAAACTGTTTTATATTTTGATAAAAAATATACAAATTCCAATATATTATTGGCTGGGTTCGATAATTGCATCTCGGAGCAAAAAGAGCAAATTTTGATGGCCGTCACGTGAGAACTTTTCAAGCATCTGACCGGTCAATCACAGTTAACAGATATCCGTGGATATACAATGCAGTAAACGTCATTTGTCAGCAATCGGTAGGTAAGAAATGACGTTAAATGCAATGTTCATCTGTAAAGGTTACCGACTGGTTAATCGCTTGAAAACCCTGTGATAACTTATCTTTTTTCACGTGTCGATGTGAATGGAAGAAGAGCTTCTTCATCTTCCTAACCTCAATGATCCAAACACTTCAAACAGCTGTTCTCAATAACCGCCATAGTGCAGATAGAGATGCAAATCCCGCTTGTTTGTTGTCCTTCCTGGCACAAACCCTCGCTTAGAAACAATTATGCAGCAGTCTTTCCAGTGTGTGAAAAGGAGACGCTGTCACCATTTAAATAGTGCAATAGATAAGGGTATCGGTAGGCGTGGCTAAGGGCACCAACAATATGGCTGCTCAAACAGAGCCGAACTAAATGGATACTTTATAATTTTTATCTGAAACTTTTGTGAACAGTCCCCGTTATCTGCATGAATACACTCAAGTCGCCGTTTATGTACGAACTCACGGCCTGATCTCTTTGTAACTTTCATCTGTAATCCCTCATGACAGGATATAACTGAAGAGCTAATGATCGGACAAAACACCGCACTGATCGACATGACGTAGTTTCCCGCGTATTTCGTTTAAGAATTCAAATGCTCATAAATGTCATAACAAAGGGAAAAGTATTTGAAGACGTCCGATGCCATATGTACTCCATTAAATGGCAGAAGCGAGGTCTACCACATGTGCACATTCTCATTTGGTTAAAAGAAAAGCTGCGACCCAACCAAATGGATGATTATATAATAGGCGCCAAAATTCCAGATTCAGAACCGTTATAAAAACATGATTGATGATCCCCTGTGGAGCTCGAAATCCAGCATGAAAAATAGGAAATGTACAAAAATTTACGAAAAAGTTCCCTGGACAGCTGATAAAATAAACATTGCACAATGATAAGGGAAACCCTTTATACAGATGAAGAGCACCTGAAGATGGTGGTAAAAGAGTTACAATTCAGGCTCGCAGTGGGGTACTCAAGACTTTTGATAATAGCTGGATTGTGCCTTATTCACCGATTCTATGTAAATTATTCAATGCTCACATTAACGTTGAAGCTCGCGTTTGCGCGATCAAATATATTTGCAAGTACATCAACAAAGGGCCAAGGTGTAATGTAGCCTCTTAATGAAATACAGGCCTATCAAGCAGGGCGATATGTCGGTAGTAATGAAACAGCGTGGCGGCTGCTTGGATTTCCATTACATGAAAGATATCCGACTGTTACACACCTTGCCGTACATTTAGAAAACAGACAGCGACTTTTTTTTTTAATGAGAGTAATTTTCAAGAAAGGCTTTTATCTCCTCCTAAAACCAGCTTTGTCAGAGAGATCCTTTAGCAAAACAATATTTTATTCTGAGGTTCCCCATTATACATGAAACACCTCAAAAAAAGAATGGAAGTGTCGTCTTCAAAATACACCTGTTGAAAATCAGCCTGGAGTTAAAGCATCGGACGCTCTTGGTCGTGTCTACACGGTAGATGTAACGAATTTTGAATAATTTTGTCTGCGCATGTTATTGCGTCATGTTCGAGGTTCAACTAGCTTAGGATACCTTAAAATTGTTAATGGCTAGGAATGTCAAACTTACAATGTGAAGCTCGGCGACAATGATAATTACTGGGACGAGAATATGGAGGAAGCCGTACAATGCCGATCGCCAGATAAAATCAAGGAACTTTACGCAACACTTACATCATCTTGCAGTCTTTCTAATCTCTACATCCTTTGGGATAAGTACAAAGAGTACATGGCGGAAGATATTTTGCGGTTACTGCAGCAAGTAAATGCAAATATGACTTTCAATGAGCACATCTACAACGAAACGCTAATAATACATATATTTGAAAATAAGGTTTGAGAAGAAACTAGATGATTTTGGAATGAATAGTCTACTTAGAGCCGACTTTGATAATGAAATTGCTGGAGAATTATAGGCTACGATTTCATAGCATTGCAACATCAAGTAACAGAATTAATTCCTCAGTTACTTCCAGAACGAAGTCTCGTTTTCCATCAAATATTACGTAAAATAGAATCCAGCAAGGGTATACTTTTTTCTCTCGACGCCCGTTTTTGCTAAATTTATTATTAATGTCCGTCAGAAAAGACCAGAAGATAGCAGTTGCTGTGGCTTTTTCCGGTATAGCCGCAACACTACTG